TTTAGAGCAGGATATATAATTCCAGCAGCAGCCATCCACCTGTCAAAGGAAACTGCAGTAAAGTCTCATTGTATTTACATCTGAGATTTCCACTCCTTAGAGGTAATAATATTACACTAGTTTTGGCTGCACTGGGAATTTACAGACAGCTCTTTGTCTATGACAAAGTATGAATGTTTTTCGGTGACACTGGTTCCCAGATAAGACTCACCTCCTTTAAGAGCTTGCATTTTCTGAATGGAGAATATTCCATTCTGAATGGAGATGTTCTTGTACGCATGCTGAAAAGTCTACTGCTTGCCTCCATCTGCTTGCCTCCATCTACCTTACTGAGCAATGCAGATCACTTTGTTACAGTAAATCACCCCTTTATTGTTTGTGAGCTCCCCAGCTGTAGCTGTTCAAACTTTAGGAGGAATTTTTTATGTTTTCTTTCAGGTAACTGAAATAATTTCATGATATAACATTAAAAATGATCCTTGCATTGGAAACACCTGCCTTGCAAGGAGTCCTCACTTCTAGATAATCTTTAAGGTCCTTTCCAACCCTAGCTATTCAATGATTCTATGATTCTAATTGCATTTTCAGAGCTGCCCGTTAACCATAATGAATTGTACGTATAATTCCAGTGTTCTGATTTTCTTACTCCAAATGTCATGCAGAACAAAGCCAGGGAGCTTACACAAGTCTTTTAAACTAACACCTTTATCGGACTCAGCCACAGTCAGGATCTTTCAGTTCTCTCTACCAAGTTAGAATGGTGATCTATTTTTCTTAAGCTTTTTGTCTGGCATTGCTCACAATTCCCTTAACTGAATCTTGTAACAGCCAGTCTGTTGTTATGCTCAGGACTGATACCAGCCTGTGGTTCATTAATCACTTTTGCTCTACTTTCCCCCCCCTGCAGTCCTTTGAAACTTCCCTGTTGTTTCAAAAGTCATCAGGAGTTAAACACCAGCCAGCTCTTTAAAAAACACTTGGTAGGAATTAAACCAGAACTCCCACTCCGAGCTGAAAATGAAGGCATGAGCCAAGGTGTGGATTCTATTTCTAGCTATTATCACTGAGTTTTATAACATCTGGTAAACAACTTAGGGGAAGCCTGTTCCAGCTTTATATCCCATCTTCATGCTTGGGCCGTGGAATTCAGTCTTAGACCTGAAAACAGCCTTCTGTTTTAGGAGGCAGCTGTGGAATCAGTCGAAGGTGTTTGCTGGCTCTTCTTTACTATTGCAGCTAAAGATAAATAGAACTGAAATGCACTAGATTAAAAATAGATGAATCAAACAAAAATCTGCTTAGTTTGTTTCATTCTCACTGGCCAGTATTATCAGCTAAACTGTTTCTACTATGTTGAGTAAGTTTGCATCCAGTCACTGCATCCATGGGCTTTTTGCACAGCAGCAAAGAAGAGACAAGATGTTTTGATAACTGGCAAGCCACAACTGCCAGGAAAACAGAGCTGGGGCTATAGTATCTGAATCTCTCTTTGTTTTTAAAGGTCCAGATTTCATCTAAATCTCTTCTATTTTCTGTACTTCTGTTACACTGACAAGTACCAGATACCAGTACAGGTATCAGTGAAATTGTACAATAGCATGATGGATTAATACCTGCCACAGTTACAAGGATGATAAATTAGCAAACAAATGAGCTTAACAGAAAGGCTGTTTGAATGCATTTGGCTAAATAACTGCTTCATTGGCCATAACACATGATTCTATGCCCTGGGAAGCAGCAAAAAAGTAGTCAAGAGATGAAAATAATCATGTTCTGAGAGGTTTCAGGTGGCACACTGAATCATGGTAAGCTTCTACAGGACAGGTTGGATGGGGCTTTGAGCAACCTGCTCTAGTGGAAGGTGGCAGGGGGTTGGAACTGGATGATCTTAAGGTCCATTCTAACCCAGACCTGAAAACCTAAGGATGACTTGCACTCTTAGTCCCTTCATTCATGCATCTGGGGAGCATGCCAGGTCACCACAGGGGAAGGTCATTTTAGGAAGACAAGCATAAGAGGGGGGGGGGAAGCAGCCTGGGACACTACTGTCAGCCTGTGGGTGCTGGGAGCAGGTAAGACTCAGCAGCCCTGGAACTGTGAGATGGAGCACAGGGAAAACCACGGATGAGAAGAAATGGTAGTGAGAAAAGAGAAACTGGGGAGAGCAGGGCTAGAAGGGGGTGAGGCAAGTAAACCCCTTACAGACAGGGCAGCAAACCTCTGTCTGCTCCCATGGCTGAGTCATGTACAAACCCTGACTGTCTGGGCCATGGACCTGGTGTCAGAGAAAGGGAAGGAGAGCTGCTATGAGACATTCTGGTCCAGGAGCTTTTGCTAACTACTCAAAACTATAATGCAGTGGAACAGTACTTATTTGAATAGGCTTAATGCCACGTGGCATGTTTGTAACCCGTAGTTATAGTAAAAATATCAGTGAAATTCTAGACAGTCTGTTTAAAACCTGTGTCTCTTTGACCCCGAACATTTGATTTGCTTGTCTTTGGCAAGGCTTGGCAAAGGCTCAGCCATGCCTCAGGCAGACAGTTGTTGTCCTGCCTCACCTGCACATAGACAGATGGCACATGAAGAACGATGGACAGGCACGGATGTCACTTACTCCTGTGGCACAAGTCATTGGCACTGCCATGAGAGGAGCCAGGTATCCTGACTGGTGGTACTACTGCACAGCAAGCTGCCTGGCATCTGAGTTTTCAGATGGTTGCAGAATGAAACATCTTTAGTCAGAACTGGGAGGGTACTTGGATTGGACATTACATAAACCTAGATACAAGGGGAAGGTATTAATCTCTGCATGAATGCAATTGAGCAAGTACATTTTGTTATTTGTTCCAGTGAGTTGTATAATCCTGCTTCCCAGTCATCCAAATAGGATTTAGCATTGTCAACATGTTTCTCTTGATAAGGTGATGCTATGAACTCCTGTCCATGCAAGATGGGGAAGGCAGATTACATGCCTCAGGAGATTATATACTGGGTTTAGCTATTAGTGGAATCTGTTTTTTTCAATGACTATGTCACAGCCTTGAGGCCACCTAACAGGGGAGTTGTCAAGAGATGGTGTGCCCCATACAGGACCCATCACAAATTCCAGAGGAGCCAGCTCTTTAGTGCAGTAACCAAGTGTTTGGATTTTCTAAATTAAAACCCAAAAAAGTCTCAGCTATTCCTTTTCCAAAAGAAATATTACTTAAGATCAAGTAAAACCCTGTAACCCTTCTGCTAATTCAGGAATGTACAACATTACATCCAGGTTGATGCGTCTGCCTTTCGAAAGTGCTTTGCCAGGCTTCAAGCATTATCACTAGTGAGACATGCTGCAATTACACCAGTTCAGAGGAGGAGGAATTGCTTCTTACCAGCAAAGGATTTGCAGCATATTGTGAGTGTAAGTTCTCACAAACGCAGTGTAAGGGAGCCCTTTTGCAGGAGTAAGTCAGTATAATACAAGTGACATAATACTGCCAGAAGTCGCATCTCAGCAGCCCACCCGAATCCCTGCTATCCCTCCAGAATGACCTGTTTGAGTCTGTGCAGATGCCCCCAGAGGGGAAGGAGCAGAGCATGTCCCTATTGGACTGCCCAGCACTACTGGCATGTGCTGCCATGTGCCAGAGCTCCACAGGGCAAGGAAATTCTGCCAGAGCTGCATTTTCAACTCAAGAAGAGCCATAAGCAGCTTGTGAGACCGCAGTGGGGCCCACTTTATTGGTATTTTGTGTGCAAATCCTCCGTTTTAAGGCAGAACTGCTGGGGCTATGATTTTTTAAATACCATCTACAAAGAGAAAGGTATTGTTGCACATTGTAATTCATATCCCTTTTCTCAGAGCTGTGCTTGGAATGCACGCAGCAGGTAAAAGGGCTTGAAAATTTTGGTCATGCATCATACTTGTTTACACTGCTAAAAGTAAGGGTCTGACAAAAGATGGTGAATTGTGAGAAGCTTTGCATTACCCATCATCATCCCTGTGGGCCTCTGTGGTTGTGGGTAAGTCATATCCCTTCCTTATTCTTATGTAGTCTTATTATTCTATAAGATTTAATGTATAATACAATATATATAAAAACATGTAGTATGATATATAGCAATAATGCTCACTGTGAGAATATTTTTATTCCTGCTCTAAGCTACATAGAATCACAGAATGGTCTGGGTTTTAAAGGACCTTAAAATCATCCATCTCTAACCCCCTGCCATTGGCAGGGACATCTTTCACTAAGGACCAGGTTTCTCCAAGCCTCTGTGTCCAATCTGGCTTTGAACACTGCCAGGGATGGGGCAGCCACAGCTTCTCTGGGCACCCTGTGCCAGCGCCTCAGCACCCTCACAGGGAAGAGCTTCTGCCTTAGATCTAACCTGAACTTGCCCTGTTTAATTTTAAACCCATTACTCCTTGTCCTATCACCGATGAAGAGTCCCTCTCCCAAAAGACTAAGTCTGTTGCTCTTCTTTTTGTGTGTGAGGTACTAGCAGAAGAGTCACCCTCCTCTTATCACCCTGACCAATACGAAAAGCACGCTTTCTTGGCTGCACAGTCCACAGTTGGCAGCCTGTCTTTGGTCACTCAACTGTTAGTACATGGACTTGAATCCCTACTTGACTGCCTCAGCTTTTCTCCTGTTTTGCCCTGACTCAATTGCTGTCTAGGATAGGAAAAAGAGTGTGCAGGAAGTGGAAACAAAATGTTGCTGTCCTCTCTCCAGTAGCTCATTACTTAATGGGTGAGTGATGTCGTGAAGTCCTGCCTTGCATTTATTCCAGATTTGTAATTTATTCCAAATTATTCCAAATGCTGGGCATGGAAACAGCAAGTGCCAACTGTAAGGAGTAAAGTGACTGTCTTCTTTGTCTGCTACGTGGTATTAAGAGGAGGAGACAGAACAGTCTTTAGTAGCAAAAAGAAGAGTGAAGAGAAATAGCTTATGACTTGATCACTGGTTGAAGTGTTAAGGGTTGTGTTTCCATATTTACATATACAGACAAGGATCAGCAGAAAAGAGACAGACTAATTCAAGCCCTTGAGAAATACAAGAAGCACCTTGCACATGGTGTTCCCGCCTCACCACTGAACTCCAGAAGTGCTTCTTCAAGACAGCAGAAGGTATCGTGATGCTGAGATGCATGATAGAGACCAGCTTCCCTTAGCCATACTCTGAGGTGCTGAGGCATGCCTGTAAGAGCAGTTAAGTGCAGGTTTAGTCAGTGTGGCTTTTTATGCTGTAGTTGAAATAAGATTTGACTCTCAGCTTTAGCAGCTAGCAGTTATCCTCTCATCTAACAATTGCTATCCCTACATGGCCTACAATGACAGGTACCCATGTCATGACTACATGTGCATGGCTAAAATGTGTCCCTGCACTGAGAGCATGGGTATGTGTGTGCCGCTCACAAACTTGCACGAGTTCTCTTTGCTCCTTGGGCAAATGGAATTAGAATTCTTCATGAAGTATTACATAGGTGCCCAGAAATTTGCTGCTGTGTGTGATAACATTCTTATTAGGATGATTTCTGTTCACAGTATTTGCAAGAGAACTAAATCACAATGATTGTCTTTATCACACAATGCAGTAACTTGACACTGTTTTACAGTATTCTCTGAGTTTCAGAATGGTATCTACTGGTAAAAGCAAGACCTTAAAGTAATTAATGCTAATTCTATACATTCTGCCAGATACCAGAAACTGTACAAACTCATGCTGGTGTGAGCAGGCCTGTTCTTCACCAAATTCTGCCAGTGGACCTTACCTCAGTGGACAAAGCCTTGCAAAACATTTCATTCTGACATAGCCTAGCGTCTCTTGGGGGCAGAAATTCCTCAGCAGGCTATATTTAGATGGTAAAACTTTCTAATTTGTTGAGAATTACAGTGGGTTTACCGCTAGATTACTAATGATGCCGTTTAAAAAGGATGTCATCCAATTCAAACATGAGCGTTGTTTTCATTTGTAAAACTTTGTGTCCCACAAAGATAAACAGCAAAATGACAGGCCACAATTTCACCAGTGGTATTTATGAGGATAACAGTGGTTCTGTTTGACTTCAAACTCATGAGAATGAATCCTGCTTACACCTGCACGGGCATCAAGGAGGGAGAATGGAAGATGCCCCTGAGATTGCCACTGAGACGTTAGTTCCATAGATGAGAATGCACAATGTCCAAGGAAGGAAAAACCTCCTGTTCTCCCTTTGTGAGCCATGGCAAGCAAAATGGAATGTTTCTATGTAATTTCCCAAGGCTACTTTTCATTAGCAAGCTCAACCTGGTAAAGAAAAGGAAGGCAGAAGAATCTAGAAAGAGGTCTTTCACTAGCTCTAGCACAATGGCAGGGTGGCTTTACTCTTGACTGTGGTTCCTAAAACTCAGCAAGTCACTTGGAGCACTTGAGACAGTTTGAAAACAGTTACTTAGAATTCCTCGTGTGTGAATCAGTTTGTAGAAGACACTGTCTCCAGCACGTTGCTTTTGTGATTTTTCTATCAGGTATTTTGTTCTTTAACTTACAGGAGAGCTGCTCACTGTTAGAAAATGGTCATCTGTATCTGATGCCTGGTCAAAACAACTGTTCCAGGACAAAGAAAGAGCAACCCCACTCTGTATCTATTCAGAAGCTCACTTCAAGGACTCTGATGCCAGCTCCTACTGCAGGAAAGAACATCCAAAATACTGCTCAGCATGCTTTGTCTCAAACTCCTGCTCCCAACTCTAGGACAGAGAGATCACCTGTTTCACCACTTCTGCAGTCACGCATGCATTTAGGCAGTCACAACAGGAAGAAGGCAATTCAAACCTCTGTTAATAAAACATACTCTGGGGACCTCCTTGACAAACATTTAAATTACTTCACAGCAAAGGGGCAGCGTTTTACAACTCAAATCTTAAAGACATCAAACCAATCTTTTCTTGTAAACTATAGGTATTATAATCCTCCTCCTCCAAAAAAGGGCTCCTCCCCTGGCAGACCATCACTTAAATCAGCAGACATCAATGATGGAAAGAAAAGAGACTTGCACAGGTACTTTGCTTATACCTAAGTGCTAAAAGTTAAGTCGTTTCACTTTCAAACACATCATTTGAAGCATGACTGCTTTTCACTGTGCTTTTAATCTTTCAGGGTTTTAGAAGATGCACGTGTGAGACCACATTCAGTTCGCTTTTCTCAGCAGCTAGTTGAGGTTGGTGTACCTGGTTTGTTACAAAGAAAAAGAATGGAGCTCATACACAAAAATTGCCTTGGTTGTATAGAAATGAGATGGATAATTGTTGTGGTTTAATCCCAGCTAATTCATTGTGCTTTGCACGCATGGGGGAGTGAGCGAGTGATGCGTGGTTCTGAGTTACCAGCTGGGCTTAAATCACGACAATCATTGGCTTTGGGGAATACATAAGAACAAAACCTAGAAACAAAATCATCTTGTATGAAATCAGTAAGACTCAGTTGAGAAATCCAGCTGGCATGGCTAGATAGGGTCAGCAGACTGCGAATAAAATAGGAACAGGTAAAGTAATTGGCCTGAGAAACACAAATGAGGCATTTTGCAGTATGGAAAAAACACTGTTCCAGCACAAATCTGTTATTGTCAAAGCAGGGCTTTTTCCTCCTCACTGCACTTAAGGTTTCAAACACTTGCTTCAGCTCTGGGTGGCCCTGCCTTGACAGGGAGGTTGAACTGGATGCTCTCCAGAGGTCCCTTCCAACCCAAATGGTTCTGTGATTTACAGCCTTTCACTCCATCCAGATAAGAAGTTGGATCCCAGAAATGTGCAGGCAAAGTGCTCATCACCCAGCCCACAGTCAGTGCTGTATATGCCCTACAGGACTTGGGAAGTTGCACTCCATTAGTCACCTGGATTTTTTAAGATTAATGGGGGATTAATTTAGTGTATTTTAGTGCTCTTTGGAAAAAGGGATCCTTAACTGTAGCCAAACCATGCATGACAGGGGAATTTTGTATGGTTCCTTGGCCCACTAGCCCCTTTACAGAAGCAGTGTTAAACTCCTACACAGCTCAGCCAAGGCACCACAGGCAGGATTTGTGATAGCCCTATGCTGGCTAGAACTATTCCATTCCTTGTTCCAACCACCAAAACCTTCTTTTTCCAACATTACCAAAAGAAAATCCTATTCCCATTTGATAATCTGCAGATAATTTCTATATCAATCTGGGTTCCTAGGTCTTCTTTCAAAGGTACAAATGTATTTTGCATGTCCTTTTAAACAAAAAACCGTGTTACTTCACTGAAGTCTGCAAATATATTCTATTATGTCAGAACTTCTGATTTCCCTTGTAGCCTTTGCATCATTTTTCAGCTTATACAAGCTTGTTTCCATTTATACTAACACAAACCTACATAATAATAATAATAGTTTTTCACTATTTATGTGTGATTGACACTCAAGACATTTCACATGAGTTGGCATGTCACTTCAGCATGATGTTATGATTTTGATATGTTGTGAAATCAGATCAGTTCCCATGGTGCTCTGAATGGAAGTGTAGGATATTAATACAAAGATAATTATAACAAAATCTACTTTTCCTCTTTACTTGTTTGTGGCAGAACTATGAATTATGGATTCCTGATTCTGAAATGCCACTTTCTTCAGGATCACAACTTGAAGAAACGTAAGTTAAATATTTGTTTGCCCCTTTTAACTAAGTTTCCTATCAAAATATTAAAGTAGGAATCTAGAGGAACATTGAAAATATAGCACAAGAGCCAATTAGCAATGGCTGTATGCAGTGAGCAGAAGGGACTCTATAAGGGACAATGGATTCAGCTACTTGCTTGGGAAGTGTCCAGGTTGGAAGAGATTTTTGGAGTCAGGTCACCCCTCTTACTGTAGGCAAACTAAGTGTGTTAAGAATAAGTACATAACAAATAAATAAAAAGTGTTAATAATTTATCTTCTGATAGTTACACTTTGTGCGTTGGGACTATTTTTAACTGATTATTCACAAAAGGCATAGAAATGAAACTGGTTAATGAAATTAATGGCTTAAAGTAATCAGGGAGTTGGCCAACAGAACCAGTCATTTTAAGTATAAATCTGAATAGTAAAAACTGCAGACTCCTAAATAGATTCATCACTTTTGGCTATGTTGGCAGAATTCCTTATTTGAGTTAGTTTAATCACTCTAAACCTGCTACCTCTTTGGATGGCATTTTAAACCTTATTTGTCTTCAGTGTGTGTTAAAGATGCTGACAGCTTGTGTATTTGTGTAGAGAAGAAGAGTATCTTCACTTTCTGCAAGATCTTACAAATGATATTTTGATTAGAAGTTGTTTTGACGAAGAGTAAGTGCTTCCAATTTCTTGTTTATTCCATTGGGTAACAGATATTTGACAATCATTCAATCAGTGTAAAGAATTGGTGGCTTTAATGAGATTCCAGTGAAACTTGAAATCAGTTGAATTTAATGAATACTTTTGTGACTGCGGTTTATAGGAGTCATGATTTGAGCTGAGTAGCTGAACAGAAAGTGTTTTCATCCATCCTCATATTTCCCAGTGGCTACTAATAGAAATAGGGAAACATCATATGCTTTCACCTGTATAGTATGGTGATAGACATTAGTGTTACCACAGTCTCATTCCAGTTCCCAGGCAATCCAGTGCAACCATGGAGCTGCAATGGGTCTTTGTTAACAAAGTGCATCAGAGCAAGATTTTGTATTTGGACTTCCTCCTCCCTCCTATAAGAGCAAACTAAATAAATGCAATAATTGCTTTCTTAAGGACTTATGCACTATCAAGTTAATGATCATGACATAAAGACTAGAGCCAAATGCAAGCAGTGCTGCTGGTGACTAGCTGCAGCACCCTTTTCTGGTTTCATGTTCTGTCCATGAGATCCTGTTACACACGTGCACCACTTAGCACAGCCATTTCTAATTGAAATCTATGACATCTCTAATACTTAAAGAGCTGTGCTAAACCACAGGTTTGTTTGTAGGCTTGTAACTGTGTGCTCCTTTTCTATGCCATTTCTTAGTGTGCATCCTAAATGGGAGAAACTCTTCCTGTGATAGAGGTTTTAACCCCAGTGTTTAAGATTTCAGTCTTTGTCAAGTGCTGTGCTTTGATGCTGGAGAGGTGCTAACCCCCTGAAATCAATCAAGCTCAGTCTGACACCAGACAAGATGCTTCCCTTTCAATCTAGAGGATTTCAGTTAAAATCCCTAAGGCTCTTTCAAATGTTGTTGGGGTGTTTTTTTAAGCGGCCATTAATACAAGCGATTAGGTTGTTTTCTGAGCGGTCAGTTAAAGGTAATAGTTTTCCCCTTCCTTCTGAAGCAGCTTTCTAACTTCAAAGCCCAAATTAGAAGTGAATTTTCTGGTTACACAGGGAGAAACATCAGTAGATTTGAAAAACACTGACTCACCACACATTTTAAACATTGCCAAGTATCATGCCTGCCCATACATACAGTTAACAAGAAGATAACATTAAAATAAACCCCTAAAAACCTACTGTGTGCCAGCCTCCATATTAACAGGATGAAAATCCTTCAGAATAATAAGAGGTTTTGTCTACAGATAATGAAAACCAAATGAGAGAACACAAACTTGTACCTGGATGATGTGACTCATGTTCTACATTCAGCCCAACTCATAACACGGTGGGGCACCAGGGTGTTCATGCTCAGGCTTGTAGGGTGAAAGGACTGCTTTGTTGACTTTAGATGGAGGTTGTTTAGATGCTGTGCACTCTTCCTTCAAAACCAGAGGTTATTAAAACTCATCCATTTTTTTCTTAGGTAGTCTCTAATAACAACTTAATTTCTCTGCAGAATAAAAGAGAGCAATCAATAGTAGCCTTTTGTCTCAAATCACAAGTTGAATTTCTAAATCGATTTAGTGACAGACTAGGAAAGACACAAATAATGGCTTCTCTAATTTCCTGTCAGATTAATATGATAGACACATTTTAATATCTCCATTTATTTAGGCCAATTTCTCTACAGATAAAATCATAAATGCCCTCCCAATTCAAACATAAAAAACAGCTCTGCTGAGTCCTCCAGCTCACTGCAGGTATTTTCAGCTTTTATCATTGCCTGAAAATGCAACCATTAGGTTATATTTACCTGAGATATGATTTTAGATCGTGAAGATCTCATTTCCCTATTCAGTTAGGTCCTTATTTTTACTGATGCTTAGCACTATGAGCACGTTTTTTGCTTGCAGATGGTCATATATCATTAAGAAAGGATGTTGAGAGCACTTTCTGAAGGCATCTCGCTTTCCCTGATGCCCCTAGTAAACAGAAGTATGAAAGTTCAGCCTTCAGTGTTTTCCTGTAGAAAGAAGCCAAAAAGCAGAGACAATGCAAATGACCTTCAGAGGTCTACAGAGTATTGGATAGAGGTAACTTAAAGTCTTTGGGGTAATGCAGTATCCCAGACAAAGGAACAACAGCTATACATGAATCTAGGAAGCTGCTTGCAGCACTGTCCATTACCCTCAGCATTTTCACCCAGTGAAAATGGAGGGACAGTGCTTGATAACCCCAAGAAAGATTTAGGCCCCATCAAGATGCAGAGGGGATGAAGAGCACTAATACTCTTATATTTGTATTGAGTGTGGAAGTAGAAATTGGAATTGTGTATGTGAGACAGTTCCTGTCCAACTGCATGCACTTGCAATGAGAATATCCAACAACCTTCAAATGTGTAAGATTGGATTTTTTAAATCCAGTGACAGGTATGATAGGGACAGGGCAAAAGGGAAAAGTTGGGATGTATTTTGAGTGATCTGAAAGACAGGCTGAGTGGTAGCTTTCATTCAGAAGTGTATGGACTTTGAACAGTCTTAGTTTTGCAGTGATGCTATTTTTCATTCTTTTTTTTTAAGGGCATTAGAAGATGTATTTCAAACGCACATTAAAAGCAAGAGGTATAACCTTGATGAGGTGAGCAAAAACCATCTATTATTAACTATTCTGTCACCTCCAGTAGAAATGTTGTATATCAATGCTGAGCAACAAGTTGTGGCAGATTGACTGCTATGCAATTTTAATACAAGGTG